AAGAATCCAGAAAGACAGGTTCCCTGAGGTCTGCAAATGAAGTAAAGACAAACCATGGGAACAAGAGTCAAATTCTGGGAAGATCAAGCAGGGATCTGGTCCTGGAAATAGCAAGCTCAGAACAGACAACAGCGCAGGCACCCTCATGAGTTAGCACCAGGAACAAGGGCATCATCCTAGATCCTTCTGCCTGACTGGACCAGGAAGGACAGAGAAAAGGCAAGAGTCACAGCACAGCTGACATGGTACTGAAGGCCAGAATTTCTAGGCTAGCTAACATGCCTGGGCCGGCCAAGGCTGCTACAGTTGGGATTCCTGACCTTGGCTGTGAAACTGAGGCACTCCAGAGGCCGGAGTCATCACATGAGTTTCAGCAGTATCAGGTCCATGAAATAAGAAGAGGAAAGAGACTCTCAGATCATCTGGACTGGCCCGCATGTGGAGACACCAAGAACCCAGGAAGAAAAGAGGCTTTCTCAGATTCACTGTCAGCACAAGAGTCATGGCGAACTCAGTTTGTCCTTATCCCTCAGATTAATTTACCGTCACTCAGTTATACTTCACCTAAAGAGAAGGAGACAAGCATCTCCTGCACTTCAAGTCCGAGCCCTGGGCCCCCTTCTGAGTTCCCTATTCTGTGCCTTAGCCTCCTCATTCATAAAGCTTTGATTCTAACAGATGCATGCAGGTTCTCTATGAAGATGACAAAAAGTCTGGAAAGCACTTAGTACAGTGTCCTATAGTTCTAGTGACTTTGGGTTTATTTTCTTTTGTTCACTTGGAAAGGCAGTTCTGTGGCAGCTCAGCTCTGCCTACCTGTGCTTTCCCTTCCCACATGACCCCTGTTGTGGGCCCTTCTGTGCAGACATCCTATGAGGCCTAACATAGACAGCACACTCCTCCCTCCTCTTACCCCTTGGACATCATAAGCAATTCATGGAAATTAAAGGCAATTGGTCAGCTGTGTGCCACACTTAGGTCCTTAAAGGTCAGGAATTGTCAGCTTACTCACCATGGTTATTTGTGCCTCTCCAGATGTCCCTACACCTCCACCCCCCTCGCCCTATCTAGGTCCCTCAGAGAAGCACCTTGGGTAAGTGGCAGAATGCTTGCCTAGCATGCATAAGCACGGCTTTTGTCCTGTCCAAGGTTAATCTGTCTCCTACCAGCTTATGACAATCTATCGGCCTAGCTCTCTCTGGGCCTCTGGCAAATAGATGTCAAATAGATCAGGCCTGGGCACCAACAGCAAGAGCCCAACCCAGACACAATTTGCCAATGTGTAGCAACCTGCAGTCTGAATGCACGGGGAGACCAGAGGATGCACACCAGCCTCCAAAGCTCCAAATGGTGGGGGAGCTCCAAATCGAAGCTGCCAACGGGGCTGAGCCTAAGCTCACACCTCATCTCGCTCCTAAAGCTCACACTTGCTGGGCCTGATGGTGCACGTCTGTAATCTCAGCTACTCAAGAAGCTGAGACAGGAGGATCACAAGTTCAAGGCCTACCTGGGTCACAGAGGGAGTTCAAGGTCAACCTAGACAACTTAGTGAGAACCTATCCTAAAGATTAAAGTGTAAAAGAGGACTGGGGATACAGTTCGGTGGCAGAGTGCTTGTCTAGCTGCATAAAGCACAACGCCTTAGGTTCAACCCCCCAGGAACCCGTCCTAGTTTCAATGCCTATTGCCATAATAAAATACCTGACGAAAAGCAACTTTTAGAGGGGAAAGGGTTTATTTTCACACAATTCCAGGCTACAGTCCATCTCCATAGGGAAGCCAAGGTGGTAGGATCTAAAGCAGAGAGTCATGTGACAGCCACAGTCAAGAGAAAGCCAGACGTGCCTCATGTTCACCGCTCAGCTCACTGTCTCACTCTTACAGTCTAGGAACAAACCCCATAGAATGCTGCTACCCAAAGTAGGCTGGACCTTCACACATCAATTACCATAATCAAGACAACATCCCACAAAGCCAACAGACTTGTCCACAAGGCCAACCTAATCTTGACAATTCCTCACTGAAACTCCTTTCCCAGATGGTTCTATACTGTGTCAAGTTGACATTAAAATTAGCCGTCACCCTTACCCCAATCACATCATGAAGTTCTTGGGCTGCATGTGTGCACTGTCTACGTTTGCGACAGGCCACTCAATGCTTCACAGCAGAAGAGAGCCAGATACCTGCTGCCTGCCAAGAACTACACACGCTAACCTCACCAATTCCTTACGTATTATGATAGAGGGTATACCGTATCATTATGGAATTATGTCCCCCTTCTTGCTGACAGAACCAGAGACTCAGAGAAATCAATGAAGTTGATTTCAAAGAATGGTTGGGAAAGTCCCAGAACCTTCTAGTTAGTAACTAATAGATAAAAAGTAGCCTATGGATGAATCTGGTTGATCAGTAGTACCTCTAACTACTGTGCAACCCGACCTCAAAGTCTCAAATGATGTGGGAAAGACAAAGGAAAGCTAAAGACTAAAACACCAAGTACCAAGCTCTCCGAACTAAACTCACTATGCAGAGGGCTAAGTACTCTGCTCCCTCATTCACTGACTAGCAGAGCCAACATCTTCCCAGCAGAACCTAGAGAAACACAGAATTTGTAAAGATGCTGACGGCTGATGGCCCTGCAGCCTCATCCCCAAGAGTCTATCTTACACAGTTCAACAGGTTTTTTCTGCACAATTCAACAATCACAATTTAAAACATAAATAAATAAAGGAAATGACTTATTTAAAGAATGGCTGGGAAAGTCCCAGAACCTTCTAGTTAGTAACTGATAGATAAAAAGTAGCCTATGGATGAATCTGGTTGATCAGGAGAAAGCACCAGGACACAGGTAAAACTCCATCCATCGGAATAGAGTTTATTAGCAAAGGAACACATGGGACAGAGTCCCTTCCAGGCAATGAAAATGTCTGCCGGGGTCCTGAGTTGAGGTATTTTTAAAGGGGGAGGCTTCTGCTTCATGCAGAAGGCGGGAAGATTTTTTTTTAAAGTTGGGTGGGGCGGGGGGAAGACTGTTAAAACCTGTCCTCTTTAGAGATCAAAGGGGAAGCCTGCCATGTTGGCCAAACAGTGGAGAAAAGTCTGCTTCTCTTGACTTCAAAGACCAGGGTGCTTATCAGCTGGGTTCCCTTTTCTCAGGAGCCTGTGAGGTCCCTGAGGCCTGTTGATGAGGGGGCGTGGCTATCTGAACCTTAACAGTAATGTTATATAGCCACTTACATTTTTTTAACATTTATTTTGTGGTATGTGTGTGGCCCCACCATGCCACAGCAGACTTGGTGGTAAGTGTCTCTACCTGCTGAACCATCTTGTCAGCTCTGTGTAGCCATTTTCAATGATCTTTTTAAGATTAAGAGGAAGCAAAACAGCATTTATGACCATATAAATGAAGACTAAAAAATATATCATCTCTATAACCTTTCACAAGTATGAACATGTAATATGCAAAAAATGTGGTTTATGTTAGTGAGACTGTGTTTGTTATTCCAGAGTGCATGTTGTCTTTATGTGTTACTTAGTACCTTGCCAATCAAAGGGAAAGAGAGAAGAGTCTCAGCCTCTCACCCAAGGACTCAGGAGATTTTTGCAGGTAGGATGCAGAAATGGAGAACCGGCCTACATATTCGGAAGCAGCTGGGTTGCCCTGGGGAAGGGAAGCCCTCCAGGTGTAGAGAGGGTTGTAATTAGTCTGATGCTAATTACAGAAGTCTCACTAGTTTATTAATTTTTTAGACAGACTCTGAATGAAGACTGAATACCTTCATTAAGCCAACTTACTTGGGTTCAGAGCACATTTCCTGCATGGCCATTCTACTAAAATTCTTAGTCTTTCTTTTTTGCTTAGAAAATAAAAAAGACACAGGTAAAGTAAAATCTAGTAACAAAAACACATACCCTGGAGAAATAAGGCTCTTGCCTTAAATGTAGAAATTCAAGCCATTTCAGAGAATCAACATGACTAGAACAAGCAAGTGAACTACGGTGTTTTCTACCCTGGGGAAAATAAACAGAAGTGCAAAATACTTAGCTCAGTATTAAAGGCCCCCTAGGTCAGGTTCCAGCCTATCTTCCTGATATTACCTCAGAAGGGCTCCAGTCCCCAGGCAATTTAACTATCAGTGGTCCCTGTACATTCCTTCACATCCCCATACTCCATGACTCAGTTCAAGCTGTTATGCCCCTAAAAGTCCTTCCTAGTCCTTGCTCAACCATGTGTTGTATAGGACACCCTCCTACAGACGCCATCCTCCTACAGGCACCATCTTCCTACAGACGCCATCTTCCTGAGCTCTGCTGCACCCTTTGCCTAAGATTACTACAGCTGGGCTTGTTGACTGTTCCTGCCCTGCCCCCACCACCCCCATGAAAGGAGGGGCAGGGAAAGTCTCCAGAACCTTGCCTTGGAATCCAGCCACACCTCTCAACCCATGATTAGCAACTAGACTCTAATTGCATGTGGCCTGGGGGAGGAGCCAGAGTTTCCAGGCTGGGGAAGCTGAAAGGAAGGTCTCTCTCCCACTAAGCAGCCTTAGGTGGGGAGCACCTACATGTAGACAAACCCTGATCTACTGCTCTGTAAGTAAGTCCATTGGTTTTCCAAAGTGCATTTTGGTGGAATTGTACCTTGGTGTGTCTTTGGGACCAAGGGACAAGCGGGTAGCCAGTGTTTACAGAAGGAATTTTAGCAACACCATGCCACTCTCAAAACACAAGCCAATCCCTTCACCCAGAATTTAATCTCTCACTCCTGCCAGAACCACAGCACAGCATTTTGAACTTCTCCAGAGGAGTTACACAGTCTGCTTTATAGTAGAGTCACCTGGGTTACTTGAGAACCAACTTTTCTACCATATTAAACCATGAGCTTCTGTGGGCAAGGACCCCTTGGGTTCCTCCATGAGCAGATCATAATGCCTGGAGTACAGTAGGCCTTCAGGAAGCACTTCACTGAGACAAGGAAAGCAGCACAGGGCATCTCTTACCTCAGCCGCTCCTGTCAGGCAACGCAGAGGCAAGGGCATGCTGCTCTGTGGCCTCCTGCAGGGGAGGGATGAATCCCACTCCTCTAGCTTCTGGCCTTCATGAGATGCCAACTTCCTCCCTAGTTGACCATAGTCTCCTCGGCCCCAGGTAAACACATTGCCAGTTTCTGAAAACAAACATGTTCTGAATGAAATCTGCATTCCACAGACATGCTCTCAAGGGTGGGCAACGGGTTACTAGGAAAAGTGTAAACATTTATGTCAACACCAAGCACTGCATACCAGGAACGTTCCTATGTTCCGACAAAGGAAGCATGAGTGCTGGGCTGGGCAGAGGCTCAGTAGGTAAAGTGCCTACCCTGTAAGCATGAGGACCTGAGCTCTGATCTCCAGGACTAATGCAGAGGCAATGAGGTTGCACATCTGTAATCTCAGCATTCCTATGGAGAGATGGGAGGCAGAGACAGGAGACTCTCCAGAAGCTTGCCAGCCAGCAAGCCTAGTGTGCGCAGCAGTGAACAAGAGATCCCATCTCAAGGGGCTGGTTAAGAGCACTGGCTGCTCTGGCAGAGGACCCAGGTTTGGTTCCCAGCACCCACAGGGCAGCTAACAATCATCTATAACTACAGTTCCAGGGGATCTGGCGCCACCTTCTGGCCTCCACGGGCAATGTACACACAGGTGCACTCACATACATGCAGGCAAAACACCCATATACATATAAAATAAAATAAAAAAATTACTTTTAAAAAAAAGATCCTGCCATGCTTGGTGGCGCATGCCTTTAATCCCAGTACTCTGGAGGCAGAGGCAGGTGGATCTCTGTGAGTTCAAGGCCAGCCTGGTCTATATAGTGAGTTCCAGGACAGCTGGGGCTACAGAGAGGCCCTGTCTCAAAAAAAAAAAAAGATCCTGTCTCAAACAAGGTAGACAGCAAGGACTACTGAAACCTAAGGTGGTTGTCTGTTTTCCACACACATGCCATGGCACATATGCCCCTGTATTCACACACGCAAATGTGCACACACACTAGCGCATGTGCACAAAGATCTTTTTTTTTAAAGCGTGAGTATTCATATGTTCACAGATGTCGGACCTGAGGTTCGGTGGGGTTAAATGACTTCCCCCAGATGAAACAAGTAGGGAGGACCAGAGCCAGAATCAGAACAATACTCTTACACTGTAGTAGATACAGGCATCACCACAGGTAAACCTCAACCACATTATGGCCCACCCACCCTCTCCCTGACCCACATACCTCCTCCCTCCTACCCAGCCCAGGGCCCCTAAGCCCCAACTGAAGCTTTCTGCAAATCTCTTAGGGCCTCACTCCTAACTCAATAGCCACTTTCCTGTTTTCCCCTCCTGGTAACATAAAGGCACCCACCTCTCAGAATCTATGTTCTTACCCAAAGGAGCAATCCTAACAGTCTCAAGACAAGCGTGTCTGTGTGCTAAAAGACAGAGAGCGAGAGAAGAAAATTCAAAAAGTCATTTGGATCCAGAAAAGCATTCGGTTCCGCAGCACCATGCGGAAGCTGGCCAGTGCTAAAGATGATGGCAGAAAATGAGGTTTGAAAAAGTAGCAATGGCCTTTCTTTCCCCCAGATAGGAGCGATTTCACCAAATTCATTCATTGTACGCAATGCCGCCTCTGTTATTTCAACAGAAATGCAAAATCTGATGAGGCATAGATTATTAGCAGATTCTCTGCAATAAATATGCATGACCATGTGCACTGTATAAATTCCTTACACATGCTTATGTTAACAAAGAGAAACTCTGCTTAAGAGACAAAACACGGAGTAATGCATATTAAATTCAAGACAAATCTACTCCATACTCTGTGTTTGGTATCAAAGTTTCATCTGGCCCCACACTCAACATATGGCTTCCAGTGTCAGCTAAAAAACAGCCCTCGACGTTGGCAGAAATGTCAACATATCGCAGGCATGTGGGGCTCTGCAGGGATACCTTGTCTGGTTCAACCTGCTTGCAGACACTGAGGCAGACATACAGGAACTTGACTTCCAGGCTTCCTGGGAGGGGGAACCAGTCCTATGTGGCCCACAGGGTGCAACTGGGAATGGGGCATCAGAACAATGGTTCATGCATCAGTGTGTACTGTTCCTTTTGCTGTGACTGCCCCTTCCTAAGCTGGTAAACTACAGCTCCAGCTGCCCCTTCCTAAGCTGGTAAACTGCAGCTCCACATCTAGAGTCCAAGTCAAGCACTGTTGTTTCTAGGAACTCTTTCCTGAGCCCTCAACTTTCCCCAGAAAAAGTTAAACTCGCCACCTTTCTTACTGCCCCTTCACCCTCCGTGTTGCCACTTAAAAGGTGATGGAAAGTAAGGCCCAGAGAAGTGGGCTCAGGGGCTGAGCCACATCCTTCAAATGACCCAGGCAGCGGTTAGTCACACTGGTCCATATTACCACATAATCACTCAACATCGTCCCCTCACTTATGTGGCTTAGTCTGAAAAAATATCCTGTGCTCAGGACAGAGGAAACATCCCACAATGGCCAACTGTCCCTCTCCCTGAGCTGGCTAGGATTTATAATCAAACTGCCTCAGCAGGGCATTCCTGATGACTACTGCTTATGGGTGTGTGTACGTGTGTATGTGCATGTATACATATGTGTGCATGTGGAGACATATCAGGCATCTTCAATTGCTCTCCACATTAATTTTTTGAGTCAAGGTCTCTCACTAAACCTGGAGGTCACCAATTTGGCAAGACTGGGTGAACAGCAAGCCCCAAGGATCCTCCAGCCTCTTCTTCCCCAGAGCTGGAATCACAGGCATACATCTTTGTGCCTAGCTTTTATATGGGGACCAAACTCAAATCCCCACGCTTGCATGGAGAGCACTGCACAGGCTGAGCCATCTCCCAGCCCTAAGCATTGCTTATTAACAGAGTTCAGAATTCCTCAGCTGGAAGGAAGGCACAAGTTGCTCTGTACAGGACTACAGAAAGAACTGTCATCACAAATGGCACATTGAATCCTTTCTTTCATATCAAGGAAAACCTCTGTTATTGATTACTGATGTCTTAGACAGGCAAGACTGCCAGACTATGGTACTGTCATTATTACATCTCCAATAGCAATTCAACCATTCCACTTACATAGCACTTTTCACCTTCAAAGCACTTCACAAAGATTAACTAATTAATCTTCATACTCTCTGGGGAAGCCAGAGATGGTCTAGAAGAGACAAGGCCAGAAACCAGGCCAACTCGATGTTCAGCTCAAGCCTGTGCTTGGTACACTCTCTAAACTTGTTTATACTCAAAGCACACTGTACCTTAGAGACAACCAGAGGATGGAGCAGACTCTTCTCTTTCAAAAGGACAGTCAGGGACAACCTCCCGAGGAGAAAGCACACTCTAAGGCCCTGCCTCAAAGAATCCTCAAAACTGACACATAATTATTAAGCTATTTTTATAGGTGAGATTAAATGACTTGAAAAGGGGCTAGAGAGATGGCTCAGCAGTTAAGAGCACTGGGAGCTCTTGCAGAGGACCCAGTTTCAGGTCCCAGCACCCATATGGCAGCTAACAACCATCAGTGACTCCAGTTCCACGGGATCTGACACCCTCTTCTGTCCTCTGTGGGCAATGCACAACACAAGTTCACTTACATACATGCAGGTAATACACTCATACACATAAAATAAAAAATTTTTTAAATAACTTGAGAAGTTAATTGACTTGATCAAGTTCATACAGCAAGTGGTAGGATCAAGATTTAAAGCAGTGGGGTTAGAGAGATGGCTGGGTGGTTAAGCGTGCTTCCTGCTCTTCCAGAGGACCTGAGTTAGGTTCCCAGCACCTACGTCAGGGAGATCACACTGCCTATAACTTCACTTTCATAGGATCTAACACTTCTGGCCTGCACAGGCACTCACATACCTGGGGCATATATTCACACAGACACACACACATTTTTAATTTTTTTTTTTAAAGATTTAAACTGGTGTTTTCTGACTCCAAGTCTGGTGGGCTCTGCAATGAACACAGCTGACAAAACTTGGCTGATGAAGAAGTTATTTTCATATGTGAGGGGGCAGAGCCATGCTCTGTGTGCCCTACAGCGTCCAGCACCAGCAAGTCCCTCCCAGAAGGCCATGCAGAACTCAGGACTTTAGTTGCTGAAATAAAGGCATTAAACACACAGATTATGATTAAACACACAGATTATGACTTTATGCTACCTGAAATTTTTTAAAAATCTACATACAAAAAAGTTAATTAGTGCACTGTGAAAAGATATCTGCCTTAAGCTGAAGTGTGCTGTCAAATATAAGGAGATTCAGATCACAGAGCTAACAAATGATTTTTCCTTGGAGTAAAGAATTATATATTACTGTGATTTTAAAAACAGGTATATTAATGTCATCTAAAAAGTACAGATATGTGTCTTCGTATAAATGAAAAATGCCAAAATAGCTCCAAATACAGTTAGCAAGCAAAATATAGTTTAAGGCACAGCCATAGAAGAGCACAGAGCAGCTAAAGACCCTGGAACAGTGCGGGAGATTTCAACACGACGTAGGGGCTGCGGGAGCTGGGCTGACAGGGAGCATCCAGGGAGGACGCCATTCACACACAGCTGTCCCTGCAGGCTCAGTGGGACAAGTGGCATTTAAGATGAACTTCTGGATATAAAAAGAAACCGGGAGAACAAGGAAGGTCAGGAAGGAAAGGAACAAGCAATAGCATGGAAATCCACGCATACCAGGCGGCGCAGGTGAGTGGAGGAGGGTCCCAGGAGGGAGGCTGTGGGTCAGGACTGCTGGGCGGGCCTAGGCACAGAAGAAGACCAGGGGTGGGGTCTGGCTTTCATGTGCCACTCTGTTAGCTTTTCAAATATTCTCACTTATTTATTAAAATGTATACTTGTATTTCACCATTTGTAGAATGTGACTATGTAGCCTTATTTAGAAATATAAAAGGGGCTGGAGAGATGGCTCAGCAGTTTAGAGCACTGGCTGCTCTTGCAGAGGACCCAGGTTCAGTTCCCAGCACCTGTTGGGAGCCTGAGTCTCGGCATGTTGGGAGACATCTCAGCATGTTGGTAGACTGAGTCTCAGCCGCTTCTTAAAACTGCTGACAGGCCTAAGCTTGCTACTTTCCATTCTGCCCGCAGCCTGGGCCCAAAACC